ATATAAATTAATGTAATAGAATGTTTGTGTTTCTACTTCAACTAGTGCTGGCTCCTTGATGCAGTCCAATAGATAGAATTGTTCAGGATTGTTAGAAATAGCTTTTAGCAAATTAACAGACGACTTCAAGTGAGGTTCGAGGACTGGGGTCCATGCTCGTCCCACGGAGAGAAGTGTTTTTTTAAAACTCATATCCAACCTCCCACTCTGTTTCCGCCACTGCTTTTGTTGAACCTTGATGCTTGGAAAGTATACCTGGATACCTGCTAAAATGTCAGCAATAATACTGATTTCATATTCTAATATTGTTATTAATATTATCGTCATTTTTTGACAATTGTATAACGCAAGCGTTTGCTTTATATATTTTTTTTCAGATTATGATGAGTGTGCTGACAATGCGATGCTTTGGGGATCAGGTGCCACATGTGTAAATTTACCAGGGACGTACGAATGTGTTTGTAACCCAGGCTACATATAGAACCAGGAGAGCTGCCAAGGTTGGTTACGCCTATTAGATTACCATTTGTCAAGCATAATCAAAACTAGATCAAGCACCATTATTGTATTATGCAATATAAAATGACATACCATTTTTGTTTTCAGACATCGACGAATGTCTGCTTGGCATCAGTGAATGTACTCAAGTATGTAGTAATTCTGTTCCACTCTATACTTGCTCTTGTCAAGACAGTTTTCAACTTGAATCAGATGGCGTGACGTGTACCGGTATGTAAATAATTTAATAATATTGATAAATATATTATTATTGTTAATACTATTTTATCTAAGGGAATCCTCTAACAAGCAACCTGCTCTTTAATAAATAAATACTTTAAATGCAATAAATTAACTAATAGATTAACTAAGAGTTTACGATATAAAAAATTAGTAGATTAAAAGATTAGGTGTGAAAATAATGTTGGCGAAGTTTAGATTCAAATTCGTGAACATTTTCAAAAACAAAGATTGATTGATTGATTGTTTGATTGATTGTTGAATGATATATAGAGATATTTGAATGAAAATTTACATTATTGTATTTTATAATATTCAGAAATATCACCGTGCGACGTTAACTGTGAAAACGGAACTTGTTACAAAGGAAATGAAGTAGAGGAATGTTTGTGTAATTTGGGTTTTGAATTAACAGACAATTCAACCTGTAAAGGTAAGCAGGAAATGCCGGTAGTATAAAACAGGTTTTCATTTTATGGATATTGGGACAAAAAACATAATTAGGGCTTTTTATTGATATAATAATGTAAATATTGTAATTTTGTAACATTGAAAGTGCTATTAAATACTAAGGAGAGCTATGTGACAGTAACAGTAATAATGAAAAAAGGCTGTACTGATGATTAACCGAAGAGACTTAGTTTCGAATTTAGCTGGTTACAATATGTATTTCTCAACAACTTTAATCTTGACGTTTAAAATTAAATAAATTAAGAAATTATATAATCTGTTATGGGTACACAAAGATATTTGTAACATTTATACTTTGCTTTCATGACGCCACCCATTACACAAATTTAATGTACCTCTTTGGTGATCATAATTAGTATTTTTTTTCCGCGTATGTTTATAATTTAAGTTTTTTTTCTGTTTGAGGTTGTATGATTAATAAATATAAAAAAAATAAATGAAACGCGTTTGTCATTCTAAGATATGGATGAATGTGCTGGAAACAACACCTGTGAAATGTTTTGTTCAAATTTGATTGGTGGATATGAATGCAGTTGTTCAGAAGGATATGAGCTTGACTCTGATTTCAGAACATGCAGAGGTATGTCATAGGTCATTTATGCACAACAACCTCAGTTTCATTCTGTATTTACCTGTCAACCAACCAACCAACCAATTTATCAAACATCTTTATTTTAATTTGTTCTGAGAGAACATATAAATTCGTTTTACTTTATTGACAATACATAGGCCAATGGGCAAATCAATATGAAACAATAAAACAATATTGGATCTCCACAGATCTAACTAACGTATATAGTCGAAACATAGTGTTTAGCTTTACCAAGCATCATTCCTGATGATGATTAAATAAAGTCAAAAGATTAAGTAATATGGCCTCGCTTTCTTTATTCGGAGTCACTTTTGTTTTATTTTAAATATTATTAATTGGCTTAATTTATAATATTTATATAATTATTTGGTTTGGAGTTTACTTCTATTAGGACTACGTAATGTTTATCAATTATCTAATAGGAAAGCCGAAGTGGGTAATACCAGCGGCACTATAGCCAGACTGGCCGAGCAACCGAACGGTATTCAATGAGTCGACTTGTGTTTGAATCTCAACGTTTGTCTCAACTTTACATTCGCAAAATATGTATTCTACAAACACTTTTATATTATTACTATTATTATTATTATTATTATTATTATTATTATTATTATTATTATTATTATTATTATTATTATTATTATTATTATTATTATTATTATTATTTCAGATATTGATGAATGCTTGGCTATAAATAATTGTTCAAGCAATGCAATTTGTGGAAACACAGAAGGAGGATACAACTGCACGTGTTCAAGTGGATACATTGGTACTGGGTATGAATGTTATGGTAAGGTATCGACGTATTATAATTTAAATTTAAAGAAAAAAACTTACGCCAGCTTGTCAGTTGCCATACGCAGACGTTAGAGGCAATTAAAAGCAAATTACACCGTATCAAGTTTTCAAATGTATTCATTGCACATGACGTGTTACATATTTGAAGTTCATTTGCACAGCAGACGTACTTAGTCCATAATAATGAAATCTATTGCTGGTAAAATTATATTTAAAAAAAGGAACACTTAGGCCTATTTAGCTGATTAATGACCACATTTAGGTCGAACTGAACATGTTTATACTTGCCTTAAAATCTCAAAGGGCACCGGGATGGTTCAGATTTTAGCAAAATCTATGAATACCGTATAGAGAGCAATAAACAATTTCCAGATATGGAGAAAACATAGAATAAAAATATCACAAAATATCAAATTACTTTACAATTAAATCACACACAATGGAATCAAAAAGACAATAAATTGCATAACAATTAAAGAAAGTAATGATAGTGTCAACAGTCTCTAATGATGGAAGTGTTTGACCACGACGGGCCATCGGCAGATGCAGTAATCCCATAACAATTGTCAAAATGATTTTATCAACTGCTCGAGGTTACGGTAATAACTTTTCAAAACCATGATCGCAGCAGACAAATTTGAAAGGAAGTCACTGGTCCCTGGGTAACTAATTACTGTAATGTAGACTGGACACATCCCTGTCAAACAATCCACATCTGATATGTGCCTGTGGTCAGACAAGTGTCTGTAGGGTGAGGCAAACGAGGTCACTTACCTAATTTTAATTACATTGGTATGCTTCCATATAAGCACTCCCTACTTGTAATTCAACAGACTTCAATTCAACCTTTCATGTGAGACATTTAACATATCTCGCTCGTGTATTTGTATATAGTGTAAATAGTTTTTGTTAGTTTGAATAAAGTGTAATCCTGTAATTCTTGATTTATCTGTGGTTATTGAGTGCTACAATTTGGAGGTTCTACCGAGACACAGAAACCAAGTTAAATCGAAATGGATTATACGACGATCGACATGATGGGAGAATATTATGAGGGTACACCGAGGGTGTCTACTAGCAGGAGGACTACCCATAAGAACCCGAATGTAGGTAGACCATACACACCAGTTCCAGCGCACTGTGATGAACGATCGTGTACGCCAGCCCCAATTGCTTCACCGCCATACACACCAGCACAGTATTACCCCACACCGTCATGTGGGTAACGGTTACATGCCATACAATCCAGTACAGCAGCTAACGAGTGTTCCAGTATTTACGGGGACATCCGGAGGGGTGCTGGTAGAGGACTGGATTCGCGATATGGAGTACCTTCTGGCTGCCAGTACCATGCCTCAGTCACTGCAGTTTTCAACAATAGTGAGGAACCTTGGCGGATCTGCCAGAAAACTTGTATTAAACATCCCTGAACAATTTCAAACACCCGGAACTGCATTTTCAGAACTTCGGCAGCAATATAGTGATATGTGCGGCGGGGATCCCCTGGCTACGTTCTACAATCGGACTCAACGCCCTAATGAACCCGGTCCGATATTTGCTGTAGAGTTAGAGGCAAAACTCAGAAGGGCGGAAGAAATTTTAGGCCGAGGTCCCATGCCCGATCGAGATCGAATGTTAATACAACAATTTGTTCGCGGTTTAAATCATGGCGATCTATACAATAGAATTACTCCGATGCGACCAATGTTAGCAAATTTCCGCCAACTTCTCGGAGAAGTCCGGGTATTTGAAAAGGAAAAATTACTTTCGCAACTACCTCAAAACCAGGTCCACAATGTGCGGTCTGGTAGTGCATCACAACGAGACTCAACAGTTGGTGACCTGGCCGAAATACAAAAGGCAATTGCCACTATGCAGGACCAGATTGCTGGTCTTGCTGCCAACGTAAACGCAAAACCAAAAAAGGAGGTAAGCTGTTATCGCTGTCGTCAACCAGGATATATAAAGAAATTTTGTACTCAACTTCCAAACAACGGCGCCCCGCTGCCACAACAGTAGGCAGCGCAACACGTACAGACTACCAACTAATAGGTCCTACAAACACCACCATTGTAAAAATTAATGGAATAGAGGAAATCGCCCTGGTTGACACTGGCTCTCAAATCACAACTGTTTCTGTGGACGCCTTGAAATCAATTTTTGGACATACATTTAAATCTAAACTGCAACCGAACTCACTTGAAATTTTAACGGCAAGTGGTGAATCAATGCCTCATTTGGGAACAGCCAACATAGATATTGAAATTAGCGGTGAGAAATATTGTTCTGTTCCTGTTTTTGTTGTGCCTTCAACGGAATTCCGAAATAAGGTACTCGTTCTCATTGGTACTAATATTCTTCACCTACAATATATTGTTCCACCCGAAAACCAAGACTCGTCTTTAGGTAGAGCAGTTTACAAGTATCGCAAATCTACTCGTTTAGACCAGGTGAGCAAATTAACGTAGGATGTTCTGTACAGTGGTATAACAAAACCTGTAGGACAGTATTAGTTGAACCAATTTGTTCCAGTACATACAATGGACTATTAGTAGGACACTCTGTTTCAAATATTCATCATGGAAACAAGGTAACACTACGAATTTTAAATACTTCTGATTTTCCAATTTTTATTAAACAAAATACACCAATCGCTAATTTAACGCAGATAGCGTGTGTTGACAATTTATCATGTAGTCAGCAAGTAACACGCCAAGCACCAAATTTGGATTTATCGAATTCTGATATATCTCAAGACCAACAATCTGCACTTAAAATTCTTTTGGAACAAATATTCCGATGTTTTTTCCACCTCCGATAAAGACTTTGGGCATACCGAATCAGTGAAACACCATATCCCTTTAATTGACAATCAACCTTTTCGCTTACCATTTCGTCGAATACCCCCAGCACAGTATTCAGATGTTCGCACAGAAATTAACAAAATGTTAGATGCGAACGTTATTACAAAAAGCGACAGTCCTTATGCATTGCCTATGGTTGTCGTACACAAAAAGGATGGCTCGTTGCGATTGTGTGTCGATTTTCGAAAATTAATTTCTAAAACGATAAGAGATGCATTTCCTATTCCTAGAATTGATGAAGCGCTTGATGCTCTTGGTTCTTCGAAATATTTTTCAACTTTGGATTTAATAAGTGGTTATTGGCAAGTCGAAGTAGCTGATGATGACAAGCAAAAGACCGCATTTACAACGCCGATGGGACTTTTCCAGTTTAATAGAATGCCCTTTGGTTTGCAAAACGCACCAGCGACTTTTCAACGATTAATGATGTCATGTTTCGGCGATCAAAATTTCTCTTCTTTACTTATTTATTTGGACGATATTATTGTTTTTTCAAATACTTTTTAACAGCACCTTACACGATTGGAGATGGTATTTCTGCGTCTTCGCTTGCATGGACTGAAAGTCAAACCGAGCAAGTGCTCATTTTTAAAACCCAAAGTTAACTACCGTACCTTGGACATGTCGTATCGGCAGATGGTATATCCACGGATCCGGAAAAAATATCTAAAGTTGCAGCCTGGCCTCAACCCACTAATCGGAAGGAGGTTATGCGTTTTTTAGGGTTCTGTGGGTATTATCGCCGTTTCATTCCTAACTTTTCTTCTATAGCGTCACCTTTATATGCACTTACGTCTGGGGACGCTAACACAAACAAACGCAAACGATCTCACAAACGTACTTATTTACGGGACCCACCTATTCTGTTTAATTGGACGCTTCAGTGTGATACTGCATTCGCAACATTAAAGGACCGTTTAACCAGTGCTCCTATCCTTGCTTATCCTGATTATTCACAACCATTTATTCTTGAAACAGATGCATCGGGAACGGGATTGGGTGCTGTGTTGTCTCAACTACAAGATGGAGTACCACGCGTTCTGGCATATGCCAGTCGCGGACTAAAGCCTTTAGAAACTCGTTATCCTGCTCACAAACTTGAGTTTCTGGCTGTGAAATGGGCAGTCACGTCAAAATTCAGAGACTATTTACTTGGAACAACTTTTAAAATTTACACTGACAATAACCCCCTTGTTTATATCTTGACAACAGCTAAATTGGATGCTATAGGGCAACGGTGGGTAGCCGCCCTTAGTCAATTTAGCTTTTCCATTCACTATCGGCCAGGCAAAAGCAATGCTGCGGCCGATGCGTTATCTCGACAATATGACCACTCAAGCCGATTGGATACTAGTACTACTGTTTTACATCCTAATGAGGTTTCAGCTGTCTTGTCTGGACATCACCACTCATCTTGTTTATTTTCCCAGCCCCCTAGCCAAGTAGTCGCCTGCAATGCATTAACAAGGAGCAAGGCAGCAGGGAGTACTGATGTACCATTAAGGATGACGTCGTCAATGTGCAGGGAGGGTGTGACGCTGTGGCAGCTTACACCCCCGAGGAAATTATTCGTATGCAACACAATGATCCGATCATTGGCCCTGCTATTGTCTACATTACCCGCGGTACACTCTAGATGTGTATAAGAGCGCCGTACAGAACCACAAAACGTACTAACATTACTTCGGCAATGGGATCGACTGGAATGGAAGGACAATAAACTGTATCGGAAAACTATCGTAGACAATGATGTTCGTTTTCAACTTGTACTTCCGGCTAATCAGAAACAAACTGTCCTCTCTAATTTACATGATGAAATTGGACACTTAGGTTATGAACGAACATTAGATATGATACGTGCTAGATTTTATTGGCCTAAAATGGCAGAGGATATTAAACAATATTGTATAAGTTGTAAGCGTTGTTGTTTGAGGAAAACGCCTCAGGCGTGTCCGGCCAATCGGTTTGTGGTGTTAACGCAGACTGTTTTAACGAGAATGGTAGTTACTATTGTGTATGTAAGGACGGATATGATGGCTCTGAGTATAGTCTGTCTCTTATACACATCTAATTACTTTACAATTAAATCACACACGATGGAATCAAAAGGACAATAAATTGCATAACAATTAAAGAAAGTAATGATAGTGTCAACAGTCTCTAATGATGGAAGTGTTTGACCACGACGGGCCATCGGCAGATGCAGTAATCCCATAAAAATTGTCGAAATGATTTTATCAACTGCTCGAGGTCACGGTAATAACTTTTCAAAACCATGATCGCAGCAGACAAATTTGAATTTTATATATATATATATATATTCAAAATGTTTAGCCCTATCGTAACTAATATGGTAAGTGATTACTGTTTTACTATAGATATTAATGAATGTGGGGTCAGTTACTCGTGTCCAAACAATAGTAACTGTCACAACACGAACGGCTCTTTTACATGTGAATGCAACACTGGATTTATACAGAATGGTGATCAATGTGAAGGTAAACCTCGCTTTCATTTATTTATAT